CACCTCCCTTAGTATCCCTCGCGTCGAACACTTTTGCAGCTCATTGTAAACGGTAGGGATGTGTGCCTGTCTGCACATATCATGTGTTTTTCCTTCCAGGCTTACCCTATGGATGCTGAGAAGTATGTAAGTTTAAACAGAGAAGCAGCGTGAACGTAGTGGCTTAGATGGTATAAGTGATCCCATCAAACTCGCATGGAAGTGAAATCGTGGTAGTCTGGAAATATTAAGATAGTCAGTTGGACATTTAGAAGTAAATGGTCTTCAATTACATCACTATCCTTAGCTGATGCCTGGAGGCTGCACATCAACTGGGCAGCTCTACTTCCTTTATTGATTGTAGTTCCGATCATGATTTTAGGTGAGGTTTCAATCAAGGGTAGCATGATTGAATTTGTTTGTGGGCAAATGCAAAAACCGAGGATGTCACTTTATCTCATCGTCAATGCTAAAACGCTAATCTATGTCGTCTCACCCAGTATGGGCTTACCATTCGACACTGCAAGCGCTCGTCTTTGAGAGCAATGACTGTGTTGAATTCAACACGCCGCAGGTTCCGCGTTGATAAGGCATCCAAAATGTGGCCAGCCATGACGAGTCCAGCAGTTTAATGGACTGCACAAACTGCATGATTGCGCACGTTGGAAAAACCTGCATAACCAGCCGCGTTAGTGAGTGTCACTGAGCCGTCGTTTTTGACAATCGCTTTTGAAGCCTTTGAGCAATTTAACCGGCCTACCGTTGCTCGGCTGCTGAGTATCCCATCATCGTGCTACTATGCTGCGTTCGAGGTCTTTAACAGTCACAAGTGAATATTAGTACCTTGAAAAGATGCTGTAAGCAGAAAGCTTCTAACTGCTAGTTGGATTTGAGACACAAAAGTATATGAACCCCTTTATTTCGTTCAACATTTGTTGTGCATTTTTAACTTAGATTCTAAGTTGTTTCCTAACCACCACACACATTTGCTGTTGTAGTGGACAACTGGTAACTTTTTTATGCTCTAAGAAGAAATAGCTCTGTAAGACGGAAGAAAACTGTGCAGGAACTAGTTCTTCGAACACTCTGGAGGTGCCGTTGGATGGCTCTCCTTATCGTTAAGGCAGGTAGATATCCACTTTGGCTAGCGGCTCACCACACCGCTGAAAACCCGTGGCTTAGCTTTCGCGATAGCAGAAGGAACATCGCGCATAAGCAGACGTTTTCCAAAAAAGGAGGCATGATATCCCCTTGGCTTTTGTGACAGTGTTCTTTGTACATCCTATCTCTCCCTGTCTCCCTCCACGCCACTGTCAGTGGCCAATCGACTGACTCACTCGCACCCACACACGCACCCGCGTACACACTCCCTCAAGGTCATCGGTTGACTGAGCATAGTGCGAAGCGCGTGTACAGGCGTCTCACTATCGTGTTAGTGGCCCCAGTATGATTTCATGCATTTGTTCTTTTAGCGATACTGAATATTTGAAGACGAGTCGGCCAGGCAAAGAATCCGAATCCAGTGGCCTTGTTGATCACGTTTGCGTTGGAGGCGATAAAGTTCGGGAACTCTCATTCATTCGCTGTCACGGTATAACTGGGCATTACCTTATCTTTCTTCTGCATCCATTTTATAGAAATGACGAGGGGAGGAGCCTTTAATTAAAAATAGCCAATATATTGCCCATCTCTAGAGGCGTTACTGGCTTGATGGCATATCCTTCCCGAAAATATTGAAGCTGAAGCAGCTGAATCGGAAGTACTTTGCCATCAATTAGTTTATTCAGCAGATGTTACATGGGCTGTAAGCCATGCCTTCCAGTCAGTGGATTACCTCTTGAGGCCCGTGGGTGTGCATTTTGAGTAATGAGTGCTCCTTGTTTGGAATATGGTAAAACTGAGACATTCAGATGTAGCTCTTGTAGCCTTATTAACCTCCAAATAACAGCCTTGCAAATCACAAATGTCAGAAGTTAAAGAGTAGTTTACCCTTTAGCTCTCAAGTACGCCTGACCAATTTTTGCGTTTGGTGGGCTGCCGATCTGCCATTTCCTCATTTGGTACCACGCTTATCAACCCTGTCGAATGATTTTCAAGCGTGTGCTCATCGAGAAGTTCTTGTTTCACGTCACAGGAGCACCCATGTCACCTGAGGTATGCCACAATGCCACGGTGACGCTGGTGCTCGAGCCGCGTCCTTCCTTTATTGTCTACATGAATGCACTCTACCAGCGGAGGGAGTTGGACCACTTTTCAGACGTAAAAAGGAATTCGCAAAGGTAGGTTTTGCCTCAAAAATCCACCTCCGATTTCTCGTCGTGAAAGTGTTCCTCAAGCACTGAAATAGCTAGTGTTGTAATTTC